TGCGCCCGAGTTTGGTCTCTAGGCGGTGGGCGCCCGAGAATCCGCGCTGCGCTGCGGCGAAATTTTTCAAACTTCTGCGAGGCTTTGAGGAGGAGAAGGGGGCGTCTCGAGGGCCCGACGCGTTCCCACGCCGTCCGCTTTGGAGCGACCCTTCATAGACCTCTGTACTTTTCTCCCCAAGCTTTAGAGAAAAAGATAAAGCGCAATCTCTTTGTCTTTTGTCTGTCCTAGGAAAGTTATATTTATCCGTTTGTAGTGCAGGAATCGGGGCTTGATTTTGGGATGGGCGCTAAACATTCCTGTTTTTTTTTTTTTTTTTTGGTCGATGCTGAGTAAATTGAAATTGAACCATGTTTAAATTTTCGATTTGTAAGAGCTCCAGTCACAATAATTTAGACAAAATTACATGACTTGTATAATATTGTACATGTTTTCTTTAGCAGTATCCTGCTTTAGAAATGAACTGGCTTTTTTAGATGATAAATTGGTGCTGGTAGTAGGACTCATAGGAGTGGTGTTACCCATATTGATAAAAACACCTTTGAAATGCTGCTTAGTGCCTTTACATGCATTTTCATATTTAATTCCGTACAGATTCCCAGTGGTAGTTACAAATGAAAAATAGATACCTAAGTACCTTAAATGATTTGTCCATATTTTGCTCTAATGACTTTCTTTGAGTAAGCATGCAGTAATTGTAGGAACTGGTTGTAAAACAACCCTTCATATTTGTTTTTCTTTTTATGTGTTTAGTACAGGGTCTACAGGGTCTCACTGCACAGATTGGACTTGTAGTGATCCTCCTGTTTTCAGCCTCCCAAGCACCAGGATTATGGGCTGCACCACCATGCCCAGTCTCAGTAGCACCGCTGGGGCGTGGCCAGCTTGGCATGGGGATGGAACTCCAGTCCCCCTGGCCTAAGCAGATGCTTTAGTCTGCTGAGCTATCTGGCCAGCCCAACCCTCTTTAACAAGGTTTGGAAAAGAGTGATCATGGGTGCAGTTAGCGTTAGGATTGTTATCCTTAGGAAGCAGATGAAGTGGACAGTACCCAAGAGAGGTCAGATCAGTATCTTTTAAGTCACAAAAAGGGAGAAACTTAGAACATTTACATGGAGACTAACATTCACTATGCACATGTACTGTGTGTGACTCAATGTTATTTTCAATTACTGTTGAAACTGCAGGGAGAAGGCATAAAACCTCGGGCAGCATTGGTTTTTTTCAGTCATTGTCCAGAGTAACTAGATTGTGCTTATAATAAATATACAGTATTTAGTGCCACAAATATGTGAAGCAGTAGTGATTATGAATTACTGAAGGGTATTTTTTGAGCTTGTTTGATGAAACTAAATCAGAAGAGGTATTAAGGGAAACCAGACTAACAAAACATTGGATTATGAGCTGAGCCCAAATTGTCTATCTGAAAGTATAGTTTAAGAATGTTTTTCTTTTCTTTGACTAAAGTTAAAGAAGTATGTAAAAAAACACTAAATAATAACAAATTTGAGAAAGCATATAATTAGTACATTTAATCTGCTGTCAATTCCTAGTGATTTAAGTTAACTTCTGATCAGGAGTTACAGAGCTGTTTTCATTGTAATGTAGCATATTGTTAAAGAGTTTGGCTTTTTTATAATAGCATACTGGTTTGCCTTACAGTTTTTTTTTTTGTTTTGTTTTGTTTTGTTTTAAGGCTTTGATTTTCTTAAAATAAAATGTGAAGTACTGAAACTTTTTAAAAATTTATTATTTATTTGATACAGAGTCTTACTATGCAGCTTGGATTCATAGTGATCCTCCTGTCTCAGCCTCCCTGGTGCTGGGATTACAAGTGTGCACCTCCATGCCCAGTTTTGGGACCGGTATGGCATTCAGTACCAGGAATTGAATTTGGGTCCTTGTGGTTGCTAGGCAGGCACTTGGGGACCACGGAGCTATCTCCCCAACTACTGTGTTTTAACAAGTAAAGGCATCATTCTTCCTAGTTCTGTAAGCTGTCACATTGTAAGATATGTGATAAAGTAGAAAAGTAAAATTGTAGAGAACAATCAGGACCTAAAAGATAATAAATTACAGAAGAGCAATTAAAATGCTAATATGCTTGGCATAGACTATAAACCCAGAATCTTGAAACAGGATGATTTAGGGCTGACCTAAAGAGTTGTGGTTAACTTGCTCAGTATTTGTGTAGGAGTGAGGGTTTTTTGTTTTTTTTTTTTTTTTGTGGAACCAGTGATTGAACTCAGACCCTTATGCTTGCCAGGGAAGTGTTTATTCTACTGAGCCATCTCTCCAGCCTAGGAGTTAGGTTTTGAGGTAGTGTTTTGACATGAAAATGGAAATCTATTTTTTTAAAAAATTCTGAATAGCTTGCCTTTCTGGGCAAGCTTTCCCTTCTGATTCTGCAGAAGAATGGCCTTCAGTTGGGTCTTGTGTTTCCTTTTTCACCATGGCTAGGGACAATTCCTGTTTTTTTCAGTATTTTACATTTTTGACTGTAGAGTAAAATTATTAAAATTGGTGAACTCCCTGAAACCTTGAACCTTCCTAGTAACCACACATAATGAGAAAAATTCAGAGGTTTGAAAGAGCCATTTTGCATGGGAAAAGGCTTGTGTTTTTAAAAAATTGATTTTTAGGATTGCCTTTTGGGGGTTAACATCAGTTCATATGTTTAGATTTCCAGATTATGAGACACACAACTTTTTTCATTTGTGCAGTTACCACTTTGTTATTTTTAGTGTTTTTAGATAAAATATTTCTTATGAATTACATAATTTTATGTTTTATCTCAAGATAAATGCTCATTACAGTGGTTAACTTTTCTCTTAAACTCTATTCCTTAGTTATGCTCCATGGTGTCCTGCTTGTCAAAATCTTCAACCAGAGTGGGAAGGTTTTGCTGAATGGGGAGAAGATCTTGAGATAAATGTTGCAAAAGTAGATGTCACAGAACAGACAGGTATTGTAAGTTGCTTGATTCTGTTTGCTTTGCAGCTGAGTTGGACTTTTATCTGTTTTCCACATTATATGGTCTGTACTTTTTATTTGAGTTTGAAAACACAGTGGTCTACAACTAGCGGAGCCACTCTTCTCTTGGCTAGCCAGGCTTAGTGGATGCTACTTCCCTGTATGGAGCTTTGTGTGCAGTAGCAAGAGTGGATTCCTGATTGTGACTACAGCTCATTCCGTGTGTGTGTTGCCCTAAAGGAGTTTTTGAGCCATTACCATTACCATTTCCCCTTCTTGTCCACGTAGCTTCCTCTTACCTTTTTGGGCTCTGTTCCAGGCTCCAGACTAGCACAGAAGATGCTTTTGAGAAGTCTGAGAGCACTGGCTCAAGCTGAAATTGATTGGATAAGGGATTGTTTGCATCCACACTGTGGTTCAACATAAGGAATTTGGGGCTCTAGGTTTTTTTTTTTTTTTTGGTCAAGCTCAGATTTAGTGACCAGATTCGAATCTCTAAAATTGAATTCCAGAGTCAGTACCTATACTATTTGGGCTCCTAACTGTCAAGCCCTCATGGTTGTGGGGCTACACACACTTTTGACATTAAGCCCTGCCAAGTGATGGGCCTTGCCTTTCGGATGCCCCTTCCACAGACCAACCTCCATCTGCTTATTTTTGGTGGCCTGCTTACCCTGTGCCAAATAGGCAAATTTATTGAGCACTTAGCTATTCCAGCACTTTCTGAGGTTATGGATTCATTGCTTAGTACTTGTACAGCCCTATAAAATATATGATATCCTCACTTTATAGATAAACTGAGGCATAGGAAGTTATTCCATTTGCTGTTGGCCTTTAACTGTTAATTTTCTCATGAAAGATTCATAGTATTTCCTATTTTTAGTAGCAACATACTGCCTTTGTTTCCGGAACATCAAGTGCAGTTTCACAGAGTTTTGAGACCTTCCTAAGCCTTACTGTTATTCACACAGAGATACTATTCATCAGTGCTTGTATATATTCACAAATGTCTTTACTGTTTAAGCTTCTATAAGCTTTTAATTGAGATAATGTACAGTTAGGTGTTTTTTCAAAATTGCTTTAAGTACAAAATTCGGATTTTCATTCTTTATACAAAACTCAACTATTTTAGTATAATTTCACATTATTTTAGTATTTAAATTCAAAAATCATCTTGTGATGAATGGTCCATATGAAACCTGTGTGTTCTTTATTACTTGTAGGAATGAGTGGACGGTTTATCATAACTGCTCTTCCTACGATTTATCAGTAAGTACTTGAAGATTCTCAGTTATGGTGAAGGATGCACAAAGAACAATCAGAGTAGTGGGCCCCTGGCTGGCACATGTTTGAAGAGCAGGGATGAGCCCATGTGCAGAAGGCATTTTTAGAGCGTTTGTTTTTCTCCGAGTGGTACTGTTCAAATGGACAAATGATGGGTGAACCTGTCCCTGTTCTCAGGGTGCAGTTGTTTCAGGAGGTGATGCTCATGTGAAATGATGTAATCCTGCTGGGCATAGTAAGCAGGGTGGCGGAGAGGCCATGGATAAGTTAGAGGGAGAGGAGAAATCCCTGGTAGCTGGAGTGGCTCTGAGAACAACATGGGGTTTAAATGCATTCTTAGCAGTAACCTTTTCAGATGTGTGAGGTGAGCATTCCATTCTGAGGGCAGACTCACAAACAGTTGGAACGCGGTGTGTTCCAAAAGCAGCCAAGTGCTGTCACATAGCCTTGGGATGAGAGTGGGTAAAACAGTTGGGTTAAGTTAGAATAATAAAGACTGTATAGTCTACAGTGTGGGTTCTTTCAGTTTGACTTTGTCTTCCATACTGAATGTTGAAAGTGTCAAATCTTCCCTGTATGTTAACATCATCTAGCTGGTGGGCAAAATATCAGAAGGTACTTTTCTGCTTGTTTAAGATTAAGAGAACAAGTTGGTATTTTGTTGTTTGTTTTTTTTCCCATCTTATGCGTCCACTTTTTAAAAAAAATTTATGTATTTGGTACAAGGTCTCCCTAGCTCAGACTTGTAGTGATCCTCTTGTTTCAGCCTGTCCAGTGCTGGTATTACTGGCATGTACCAACTACCATGCCTGGTTTGTGCCAGGGGCAGGGCTGACACAGCATGCTGAACAAGGGATCAAACCCTGGTTCTTGCAGTTGCCAGGCGGGTACTTAGACTGCTGAGTTATCTCCCTGGCCTGCATTTACTTTTTAAATTAACTCTTTTTTGTATCTGAATTTCTGTCTACTTGTTGCTACACATTTATCCCTTTTTCATTTGGTGATGTGTCCGTTAGCTGGCTATAATGTTTCCCCTTTTCTACTTTTACTACTTTGTGTCTGTTGGAATCAGACCCATCCTTCAAAGCAGTTTGGGTGCCACTTGCTCTTCTTTTTTTTTTTTTTTTTTTTTTTATATTAGAGAAGGGTCTACAGGGTGGTAATGGTCTCACTATTAAATCAGACCATAGTTTAATTTTTTTTTGGTGGGGGGCAGAACTGGGGATTGGACTCAGGCCCTTGCATTTGCCAGGGAAGTGCTTATTCTATTGAGCCATCTCCCTAGCCTTAGGTCAGACTCATAGTGATCCACCTGTTTACAGCCTCCCAAGAGCTGGGATTACTGGTGTGCGCCACCATGCCCAGTCTCAGTTGCTGTCTCAGAGTGCCTGGGGGTGGGGCTGGCATGGCAGGCTGGGGGATTGAACCCCCATCCCTGCGCCTGCTTGCAGGTGCTTTAATCTGCTGAGCTAATTGGCTGGCTCTCACTTGCTCTTTAGAACTTTGTTTTGGGATAGGGGATTCAATGTGGTCTCTTTCTCTGAATGGGTAAGGGATTGCCTCATCCCTGCTATTGAGGCTTTGTAGTAGGTCCTGTGCAGCTGGGAGAGCTTTTATTGCTATGGGACTGAGATCCATATATTTTATGTGTCAAGGATGCAGGGGATAAAGTTGACTCTGAATAGTAGCACTGAAATGCCTGGGAAGGCAGCATTCTACCACATGCCTAGAGTACTGAAAGTGACAGAAAAATACCGTAAAAGCTGATATTTTGTGATTTTTTTTTTAATATGTGTTTTACAATTAAGACAATTTTCTGAGGTTTATCTACTGTGTGTTTCATAGTTTCATTTAAAACTAGTAACAAAGTATTAAGGTGTATGACTGCGGCCAAGATCTCATCAGGAGGTGGTTCATGAGCTCTTTATACTTTGCTAATGTATTTGAATATTGGGGTTGGTTGTAAAATGAGGTGAAGTAGTAAAACAAATAGAAAATTTATTTCTCAGTGGTACTTAATACTTTTTTTATTTAGCTGTAAAGATGGTGAAATTAGGCGCTACCAGGGTCCAAGGACTAAGAATGACTTCATAAACTTTATAAGTGAAAAAGAATGGAAGAGTATTGAGCCTGTTTCATCATGGTTTGGTCCAAGTTCTATTCTGTAAGTATGAGGGGTTTTTATCTTATTCAGAATGAATGGGAACATATAGTTATATTTCATATGAAGTGCAAATAGTTTCTTAAAGCTTGATATTTTCAGTTGATTTAAATCAAGTAGATCATTTTGCCTGTTAAAGTAGAAGGAGGAATTCTGTAGAAATAAATTTAATGCCTTTTAAGGATACTTTCGGGGCCGGGGAGATGGCTCAGTGGAATAAGCGCTTTCCTGGCAAGCTGAAGGGCCAGAGTTCAATCCCCAGGTCTGCCAAAAAAGGATACTTTCAAGCTGGTGGATTTGGTCAGATGTATCAGTACAAACTAAATAATTCCCAAGAGATGGCAAGCAGTATAGCAGGTAATGCTCTAGCTTGAGTGTAGTAATTTGAGTGAGGGTGCTCAAACTTTTATCTGCTTATACTTCTTTAGGCTTCTGTTCTTTTTTTTTCTTTCTTTCTTTTTTTTTTTTTTTTTTTTGCTTCTGTTCTTGATAGGAAGTGGTTGAATTGTGTGTGGTTGTATGATTAATCTGAACAGTGACTCTTAATGGCATGGTTAACTGCTGAACTCACACCTCGTTAGAAGGTGGGTTCAGTCTCCTTAGTGGTTAGGACTGGAGGTGCTAGGAGTGTTTTCTGCTACACAGTTGGGGTGTACGGCCTCACCTGTCATTTAAGAGACATTTGGGAATAGCGAGTTTTACGGAGATTTTGATGTCCTGGCTTCTCCCTTGCAGGATGGAGAGCCAGGACACCAGCCACATAAAAGGAAAATGTTTTGGATTCTGGAAGTGATGGACGTGTCTTATCGTGTATGACTTTTTTTTTTTTGAGACAGGGTCTTGCTTTGTATTCCAGGCTGGCCCTGTGTAGCCCAGGCTAGCTTCAAACTCACAGCAACTCTCCTGCCTCAGCCTTCCGAGTACTAGGATTACAGTCATGCACCACCATGCTTGGCCTTCTATGCCGCTCTTGCATAACCTTTGAGTTGTCCTTTAGCAGCCTGCATTTGCCCTATGGAACTACTACATCCAACTGAGTTAACAGGAACTACTCCAAGTGTAGTGTAATTGTTGAGGCTACATATGCAGTGCTTTATCTTCTAGTTCCTATTGTTCCTACTTAGCCTGTTAGACCAGCAGCACAATTAAAGTATGTTTGTATGTTGCACTTAAAAATGTAAAAGATATTTATTCTTTAAAATCTTACCACCTTTTTCTGGTAGAAGAAAGTGGTTGGCTGTGAGTTTCTGTTGAACCCCCAAGGCAGCAGGTTACATTCTCAGTTTGCGGTCTGGGGCCTTGTGCTTGATTGTGGGCGAGTTCTTCACCCCAGCCAGCTGTGCCTTTTCTGTTGCTCCTGAATAGTAGCAGCTCCCAGTGTGAGCTGAGCAGGTACACCTCATGCGGTTGGCCTTTGGGCCCAGCGAGCCTTGGGCTTTTGTGTGAGAAGGTCCTTGGCAATAACTAGCAATATTTCTTGCTAAATGGTTGGTTGGTTTTTTTTTTTTTTTTTTTTTTTTTTTTTTGGTGGAACTGGGAATTGAACTCAGGCCCTTGTGCTTGCCAAGGAAGTGCTTATTCCACTGAGCCATCTCCCCAGCTTGCTAAATGGTTGGAAACCCACAAACCCTTGTTTTTGAAGCATCCTTTTTTAAACTGCCCATCTAAGATACAAGCTGGATTTTGTTATGTAAAAGTAGTAATTTTTATTTATGGCAACTTACCATTAATTTTCTATGTAGTTATTTACATATTATTAAAGGTTATCAAACCAGTGCTATTATAAATTCTGATTTTATCAAAACAGATTTTTTTTTTCTTTTAATGTGTTGGGGATTGAACACAATACCTGGTACATGGCTAGGCAAGTGCTCCACCACTGAGCCGTAGCACTAGATGGAGAGCTAATTCTTAACTAGGAAGAGTCAGATTAGCAAGTCCTACCAGGTCTTCCTTCAGAACCCTTCTGTGCTCATTTTTGGAATATTGTAATAGTGGGCAAGAATTGCCACTTTCAGCTGGTTTTGTGGAACTTTTCACTTTTTACTTGGTATATTATGGAAATGGATGAAAGAAATGTGAATGTTGACACAGTGGGAGGAAGAGAAATTATGAAGTTTTTTATTTTGATAAGGTCACATATTAGTAATTCAGAAAGTTAGTTTTTATCAGCAAGCCTTATTATGGGCATGAAGTCGATGTGTTAATAATCTTGATAAACACCAGCCATAAAATGTCATGTTGAAGAAATTATAGAGTGAAAAATAGAACCTTTGTTTATAGATGTAGACGAAGCTGTGTCTCTTACTCAGTTTTTCAACTGTTTTTTTTTATTGTAGGATGAGTGCTATGTCAGCACTCTTTCGGCTCTCTATGTATGTCAGGGTATGTATTAACATATTTGTCTCTTAAATATTTTTAACATCACTTTTTTAAATGGACATATTACTCATTTTTTTTCTTTCAATTTTAGACTTGCTATGACTATTTTATTGAAGACCTTGGACTACCAGTTTGGTCATCATACACAATTTTTGCTTTAGCAACTTTGCTTTCAGGATTGTTATTAGGACTTGTAAGTATTTTGGACAGCTAGGGAGAACAATAGGTTGTTATTAGGTGTTTTGAGACAGGGTCTCACTATGTATTCTAGGCTGGCCTTAAACTCACTGTGCAGTGCAGGCTAGTCCTGAGTGCTGCTGCAGTCCTGCCTCAGCCTCCTGATTGGTGGGATTATCGGCATGTGCCATCATGCCTGGCAGAATATTTTAAGATGGAACACTAGTTGTACTATGTTATGTATTCAGATTTGTTTATTTTGCAGTTAATGATATATGTGGCCGATTGTCTTTGTCCTTCCAAAAGGCGCAAACCACAGTCATATCCTTCAAGTAAGTATATTTAAGATTTGTTTTTGTTTTTTTTTTTGGTGGAGCCAGGGCTTGGACTCAGGCCCTTGCGCTTGCCAGGCAAGTGCTTATTCTACTGAGCCATCTCCCTGAACTCCAACTTTTTGGGTTTTGGCTGTGCTAGGGATCCAGCCTAGGTCCTTGTACATGCTAAGTGAGCCCTTTCCCACTGAGCTACATTGTCAGCCCTTTTTGTTTTTTGGTTACTTTAATGCCATTCATTGCTGTAAAAAATACTCTTTAATAATTCGGGTTCCTAAGTGCCAAGTGGTCCCTTTTGGCTGTAGCATAACAGAAGGAAGAAGGGGGAGATACTTACTGTGGGACATATTTTGTGATAGTCCAGTAGATTTTGGAATACTTATTATTTTCTTGACTCTTACAGTGAAAGAAATGTCAGCATTATATATAGCTTGTAGACGTTTAATAACATTGATCTGGTATTAATTTCAGAATTTTATGTTGTTCAAGGATCCATTTGAATATATATATGCAAGACATAATTTTTAAACGAGTATATTCTACTTTTGAAGTCATTCATTGGTACAGTGATCACATCTGAAGATTCTTTGTATCTAGTTAATTTTTACTTTTTCGAAAGGACAGTGGGAAAACTTCCTATAGTTGATTTAGGCTTGATATTTACACAGCTGTACTGCAGAAGGGGTTTATATTATTAGAAGCAGTTACTGATGTTTGTGATATAATTGTTTATCCAAGCTTTTATTTTTAATCTTAAATGAGTATACTGTTACTGGAGGTAGTCCTGTTTGCAGTTTCCATAGAATTTTAGCTTAATATGATCTGTTGCTTTTCAGCAACTTGTGGTTTCCTGTGTGGGTGTTGCTGCTCCTAAACATGATAGAGCTGAAAATAGACCTAAATTAGACTTATGACCTGGCATTTACTCCATGATAATGTCTTTGTTGACTCAGAATTTATCAAGGTCAAAGCTCCTGAAATGGAAATGGTGGCTATTTCATTGACACCCTACTTTGTTCTTCAAATACCAGATAGGACATCTTTATTCCTAGATGTGCTGATGCTGGGAGAGGGTCATCTAGGGGAAGTAATTGTTTCAGCTGACAAAGATCACTGAACTTTTTGGAAAACATATAGGTGCAGATTAGCTGATAGTTTTGAAGTGAAATGAGTATAAATGTTCATTTAATTTTTAAAGTTGACATAAAACTAGTTGTTAGTAGCACTGTCCTAGGTGTGGCAACTAAAGATATCTTTAGTCTTGCAATGGCTGAATACAGTGGAGATAACCTGTTATAATCTGTAGTGCTCCCCCAAAACCGCATGCATGGCACTTGATAGAGAATCGAGCCTGCAAAGTCAGCAATAAAAAGAGATGCCAGGCAGACAAAAGAGCAGGCTGCCTATGACTGTGACCCGTGGTTTCAGAGTGGTTGCTCTGAGCTTAACAAGCAACTGGCCCTGCAAAAAGTAGAAAGGACAACCTGCAAATTTAATATTCATACATTCTGTTATTAGTAATTATGCCTTAAAAATTACGTAGATGAAAGGAAAACACATTTATAAGACTAGAAAAAATATGGACACAAGAATGTAACCTTTAGTTCTAAGTCTGTGTGACCTGTTTCCCTGGGAACTGAACTGTTGCAGTTATAGACCAAAAGATTACTAGCAAATTAATAATATAATTGTCATATTTTTTCTTATAACTTGTACATTTACAGCTTTAAAACTGATTCATTTTTTTAGTGTATCAATTAGGTGGATATTTAGAATCAATTTGGTAAGTAAAATATGTCTTCTAAACCAGTTTTTAAGTTTTTTCTTTTTTCTCAATAATTTATTCCTTTTGGAAATTGAGATAAGTCCTTTCTCCTTGATTCTGCTGTAAAGCAAATACAATACTCAATAAAACCACATTATCTGGCTTTTGTTTTTAAGAAAAACCATTATCGGAATTTTCTCAACCTTTGAAAAAAATGATCGAGGAGCAAGAAGCTGCTGCTGAAGATATTTCAGAAGAAGTAGCGGAAAGTAAAGAAGGAACAAACAAAGACTTTCCACACAGCACCGTACGACAACGCCCTGTGGGCCCATCATTGCCCCCAGATCAATCCTAGTTAATTTTTATAAAT